CCCGCCACCTTAGGTGTACATGGCTGGCGCCTTAGCCGGTTGAGCTATAGGCGCCGAGCCAGAGGAAGACTCTTAAAGGAAAAATTCAAATAATCAGAAGAATATAAAGTAAGAAGTGGAAGTCATCCCTTCACTGGCACCTCCAACTTCCTAGAATTAGTATACACTCTAGACTTGCTGCTATGCATGTATAAATCTCTGCATTTACATACACGGCTGTATACCTAAACATCTCCACCTTGGAAACACTACTTCAAAGTATACATGCCTAAAAAGGAAATCCTCTTTCTCTCCAAATCACCTCCTTTGCCAGTGTTTTCTACTTTGGTAAACAGGTTCCTCAACCACCCAGTTGTTCACGTCAGAAACGTGGCATTCTGCCTCCTACATATTTCTGGAATGTAAGTGAAAAATGTGTCACTTTTTGACATTTATAAGATTAAATGGAAAGTATTGAAAAGTAATCAAAATTTGGTTACTTTTATCACAAAAGTGAGTCTGAATCTTAAGGAATTTATCATCTTTAAGAATGATAAAGATGGCCAGGCATGGTGGCTCAAACCTGTAATCCTAGCACTCTGGGAGGTGGAGGCAGGTAGATTGCTTAAGCTCACAAGTTAGAGACCAGCCTGAACAAAAGCGAGACCCTGTCTCTACTAAAAACAGGAAAACTGAGGCAAGAGGATCGCTTGAGCCCAAGAGTTTGAGATTGCTGTGTGCTATCACGCCATGGCACTCTACCCAGGGCAACAGCTTGAGATTGTCTCAAAAAAAAAAAAAAAAAAGATAAAGATTTTCCCCCCAAATTATACTAAACAAAAATATAATAAATGTGTCCCTATTAGGGAGGAAAATACTCCCATTCTTAATTTTTGATGAATATAATATTATGGCATTATTTTACACTGGTTCATCATTGTTGAGAATTATCACAATTTTCTAATAATAAAATACCAAATTAACAGATAAGTGGTCTACAGGTAGAACTCTATAGAAAGAGAGAAAAAAAAAATCAGTATACTTAAAAAAAATCTATAAGGTATAGCCCACATCCAAACCTATACAACATAACATATCTACCAAGATGAGTGTATCTGAATCCTTATTTAAATATTGCATGAAGCCTTTGGCTTAAACCTTTAATTAGATCAATATACTAATCAATGCAAGAAAAGGTAAGTTGAACAAATAAGAGGTAAAAACATATTTTCATACACATTTGTCAACAGGTATGTATCTGCACCTTTCAAAACTGTAATTCACATTCAGACAATGTATGTGAATATTAAGCGAATATAAAATACACTTGAAATAGGGAAGCTACTTTAAAACACCTGATTATCTGATTGCAAAATGATTTTATGTGAAATGTGACATTTTAAAATCTTATTAAAAACACTTTTTTTGAAAAACATAACCTTCAGTGGAAATGACTACCCTACAGCAAGATCTTCTTTTTTACAGTTTTAATGAGTAGCAGTTCTTCCAAAATAGATATATTAATGTCATTAATATCTTTTCGAAAACATCAGTGATACAAAAACATAACAAAGTACAAGGCAAATGAATTGAGTTGGCAAAATACACAAGATATCACATATATGAGTGCTAAAAAAGGTTTATGAAAACTATAATTCATGATCTTGATTTTACTTCGTCAATATTCAATAATTTAATGATAAAATATGCTGTTGAAATAGTCTAGAAATAAATTTACCTGGAAGACCTTACTTTTTGAAAAATGAAGCATAATTTTCTTCCTAGGAAGTTTTCTTATGTATTTTACATTTGTATTATGTAAAATTATTTTTAAAAGATTACCATTATGTGATTCATACTTACTACTTGACAGGGCACTGATGGTTGGTTGGTTGGAGAAGGAGAAGGGTGGATTAAGTCTAACAGGAAGGGAAAAGTTAAAGATTAATTTAGCACTGAAACATCTTTAGGAATATTTTAGTGAACCCTACCTTCTAGAAACACCTCACTCACATACAAAAACTCCAAGAAAGCTAAATCAGATAATACAAAAACTCAGGAAAAAAAAAATACTACTACAATCATATATACAATTTATAACTCAAGTTTTTTTGTCTTAAATATTTGCACACCAATAAAAAATATACACATTGTCTGTTTTAAATGTACATTAAGAGAAACCTTTCCATGAAAATCAACATAATATAAAAAAGCTTCTTAAGGACAGTAATTTGTACAAGGCATCTCTGTAGAATACTAAGGGAAGTCAGCTGCCAAAGTATTCACAGTCTCTTTTGGGATGTCAAGATGAATTCCTTCAAAATAGTGCAGGAACCTGTCAAAATTACAAAGAAATATACAGCTTAATATATCCATTTGATGAGAATATTAATGATCTTGAAATAGCTACCTTAATTGTTATTTTTATAAAGCCTTTACCTTCTTTTACTTTTTCCTTGTTCTTTTAGCTTCTCAGATCTACAAATGTTTCGAAGAGTTGGCAGGTATTCTATTATACTAGCTTGTCTATTACCCAGGTTCACAAGAGATCGACTAGAAAATACACTTTTAATGACTGCTATCCTCTTCCAAGCGCTGCTGTAAATTAAAATTAACATAGTATTTATTTTTGATGTGGAATAAAAAGGCAGAAATCTCAAATACAACCAGTTTCTTTGCCTCTGTGGTCTAGTCTATATGACACTTCAAGATTAACTTGCTGTGAACACATCATCACTCCCATGCTGAAAAATCTTAATGGCTATCTGCTATCATAATAAATCCAAATTCCTTCCCTATCTGCTATCCTAACAAGTCCAAATCCCTTCCCTGTAATTCAAGAGTTTCCCAAATCTACCCTACCCTAATCTCTCATTATTGTCTTCCCAGCAACCAACCTGGTTTCTTTAGCTGCTTCATTAGAAGGTACATTATTAAGGGCTTACCATGATCAATAGCATCACATTTTAAAAGTAGTAAGACAAAACTCTAATGATTTCCAATTTCCCAATTATTACTGCAAAATAAAAAGTAAAAGTAATACTTACTCTAAATTAGCTGCTGACTGACTAAAGTATACATTCTTGCGCTTTTGTGAAACGTAAAAAGTAAGATCGTTGGTTGGATCTCTTCCTAATTTCTTGCAAGAATTCAAAGAAGTTTCCAATGCTTTTGAAATAGTAGAAGAACATCTAGTAAAGCTGAGAGCTTCTGCAGCTGCCTTGAATTCTCCAGAGCTTTGAGAAGTCCATCCATCATTACTCTCGAGACTAAACTCATCACAAAGTCCACTTTTAACCTTTGCATTTGTCCAACTAAAGTCGTTTTTACCAAATTCCTTGTGTTCCCTTACATCAGTTAAAAGGGCATCTAAGAAGGACATGTTATCCATGAACTCAGTGAGAGAATTTAAACAATGAGAAACAAGGGAAGAACATTTTTTTTCTGCTGGTGTTTTAGGAGGATGAGAAATAGAGGCAGGGTTAGACTCTAAACATTTGTTTAGTTTCTTGGTCTCTGGGTTGCTTTCTTTGCCTCTGGCTTTGCTTTCTTCTGACTTTGAGGAAGATGACACAGGGGAGAGGCTAACACATTCCTCAGGAAAGCTCAATTCAGTGTCAAATAAGTCACTATCATCTAATATCACCATCTTTTTCCTTTTCTTTTTTTTTGACTTTTTTGATGGCTGCTCTCCAGAATGTTTCCCAGAAAGACATTTCGTACTTTTTGTTGCTGCACTGGCATCCATGGTTACTGAGGAGCCACAAAGGTTTTCCGTTTCTGGAATGATGTCAACTGGTAATGGTAGAATGAATTCAAGATTACTATATAAAAACTCCACGTTCTGCATTTGGAATTCTGTAAGAAGCTGAATGAGTTTACGCCATTCTTCTTTTGTTGTGATTTTGTGCTGAAAAACAATTTTGGTAAATGTTAGTACATAGTTTGAACCTTTTCCTATCTATATGAATAGGAGCATAAGTGTTTTTCCTATTCTATCTTCAAAACACTGAGTCACTACCCCTCAATTTTATTAACCTACCCTTAATACATCAGAACAGTATTACGAGTCTAAACGTTATATTTGGACTGTGAATTTGGAGAATGAAATTCTCGCAATGCCTATGTGACATTTGTCAATGTGGTAGCCCATGTTAAAATCAGAGCTCTGGCTTGGCGCCTGTGGCTCAAGCGGCTAAGGTGCCAGCCACATACACCTAAGGTGGCGGGTTTGAATCCCCAGCCCAGGCCCGCCAAACAACAATGATGGCTGCAACCAAAAAAAAAAAAAAATGGCCAGGCGTTGTGGCCGGCGCCTGTGGTCCCAGCTACTTGGGAGGCTGAGGCAGGAGACTCGCTTGAGCCCAGGAGTTGGAGGTTGCTGTGAGCGTGATGCCATGGCACTCTACCCAGGAGGACAGCTTTAGGCTCCGTCTCAAAAAAAAAAATCAGAGCTCTAAAGCCTATCAAAACTATGGGCAAATTGTAAGTTAACTAAGATGTAAAAGACAGGAGTTAGTATTGGGAAGAATGAATATAAATTCAATATTCAAAAACAGACATTGAAAATACCTTTAAAAATGAAAATAAGTCTTCAGAAGGGGAAAAAATGTTCTTAAGGCCGAAGTATGTCTCCACACAGCCAGTGTCACATCTGGGGACAATTGCACGACTCTTTTTAGTATTTTTAAGGTTATTTTTGGAATCAGGACCATCTTCAGCACAAACTAGCTGTACATTTCTGCTATTTCCGCCTACAAAATGAATAAAAGAAAATTTTAGCTATATATATTTTAAATAAATTGTATCAAACAATTATTTAAAGTCCTAGATCCTGGTTTGGCACCCATAGCACAGTGGTTACGGCACCAGCCACATCCACCCAAGATGGTGGATTCGAGCCCAGCCTGGGCCTGCAAAACAACAATGACAACTGCAACAGAAAATAGCTGGGTGTTGTGGTGGGTGCCTGTAGTCCAAGCTACTTGAGAGCCTGAGCAAATGAATCACTTAAGCCCAAGAGTTTCAGGTTGCTATGAGCTATGACACCACAGCACTCTACTGAGGGTGACAAAGTGAGACTCTGTCTAAAAATAAATAAATAAAATAAACTCCTAGGTCCTGTGACATCTTTTAGACCCATACCCCCATTTTGTTCTTCTCTATAAATATGTCTAATTCATTAAGAATACAATATAAAGCATTACTTATAATAATATATAAACTAAGTTATATGATTGGGGGGGTGGGCGCCGGGGGAGATTTTGAAACAATCCAACAGAAAAATGCAAGGACTAGGATAAGCAAGTCATAGAAGAAAAAAATATATAATAAATTCAAAGATCTAACAAAAAGATACACAATTTCATTTGTGAACATGGAAATGCAAATTTAAAATAAGATCTTGTATTTGTTTCATCTCTTAAATTGTAAAAATTAAAATACTGATAATTGGGTCTGTAGCTCAGTGGGTAGGGCACCGACCCCATATACCGAGAGTGGTGGGTTTGAACCTGGCCCCAGCCAAACTGCAACAAAAAACAGCTGGGCATTGTGGCAGGTGCCTATAGTCCCAGCTACTCGGGAGGCTGTGGCAAGAGAATCACCTAAGCCCAGGAGTTGGAGGTAGCTGTGTGTTGTGATGCCATGGCAACTCTACCAAGGGTGACAAAGTGAGACTCTGTTTACTATAATGACAAATTGAAGATAATTTAAATGTTCATAAATAAATAATGATTAATTAAATTATGGTACCCTCACTCAGTCTATGCAATAGCAGGCAGCTATGAAAAAGAATGAGTTAGAGGCCAAGTACGGCAGCACACATCTGTAAACCTAGCACTCTAGGAGGCCAAGGCAGGAGGATCACTTGAGCTCAGGAGGTTGAGACCAGTCTAAGCAAAGTGAGACCCTGTCTCTACTAAAAATAGAAAAACATAGTGGGGTGTTGTGACCAACACCTGTAATCCCAGCTACTCAGGAGACTGAGACAGGAAATCACTTGAGCCTAGGAGTTTGAGGTTGCTGTGAGCTAGGCTGATACCATGGCACTCAAACCTGGGCAGCAGAGTGAGAATGTCTCAAAAAAAGAAAAATGGATCAGAACCGTATGTGCTGACAGTAAATTGCCGAGTTAGGCTGGGCACAGTGGCTCATATCTATAATCCTGGCACCCTGAGAGGCTGAGGCAGGAGGACTGCTTGAGCCCCTGAGGTTAAGACCAGCCTGAGCAACACAGAGAGACCCCATCTGGTGCCTCTGGGTCAGTGGATAGGGCACCAGCCCCATATATTGAGGGTGGTGGGTTTGAACCCAGCCCCAGCCAAACTGCAACAAAAAAATAGCTGGGTGTTGTGGTGGGCACCTGTAGTCCCAGCTACTTGGGAGGCTGAGGCAAGAGAATCGCCTAAGCCCAGAAGTTGGAGGTTGCTGTGAGCTGTGACACCACAGCACTCTACCGAGGGCAATAAAGTGAGACTCTGTCTCTAAAAAAAAAATTAGCCAGGAGTGATGGCATGTGCCTGTAAGCTGAGCTATTTGGAAGGGTGAAGTAGGAGGACTGCCTGCGCCCATGAATTTGAAGTTGCTGTAAGCTAGGCTGAGGCCATGGGACTCTAGCCCAGGCAACAGAGAACTATCTCTACAAAAATGAAAAAAGTTTTTTTCTGAGTTAAAAATAATTGCTGCTGGCTCGGCGCCTATGGCTCAACTGGCTAAGGCGCCAGCCACGTACACCTAAGGTGGCGGGTTCGAATCCCCAGCCCGGACCC